AGCCTAGATGCTTCCCACCCCAGCCCCCCTTCCCCCACAGCCACCGTCATCCTCAATGAGCTCAACTGGACAGAGGCCCTAGAGAATGTGTTCACTGAGAACCGTAGACAGGACCCCACGCTGCTGTGGCAGGTCTTCGGCAGTGCCACAGGAGTCACTCGCTACTACCCAGGTGGGTGCCAGCCCATCTCCTGGTCCATTCATCACCACACCCTCTTCCGTCTCCCAGCCCACTCATCCTGGGATGCGTGGGGTGGGATGGTCACTGATCACCCCATAGACTGCAGAGTGGCCTGGCCACTCCCGTAAGGCCTGCTGACTCAGGCCAGATACTTCCCTGCCAGCCCCTCATCACCTCCTTTCCCCCCACAGCCACTCCATGGCGAGCCCCCAAGAAAATTGACCTGTACGACGTCCGAAGGAGACCCTGGTGAGCAAGCAAGGAGGGGCCGGGCAGGGACACCCTCTCGGCTCCCCCAGCTCTCCCGCCTGCTCCCCTCCCTCCTGATATCCAGACCTCCGAGCGGGGCGCAGCCAGCTCTATCCAATTTTCATTTCACACATCGTTGCCACTGGAAAATGGATCCCATCACCCAAGCAGGCCTCCCAGCTGCCTCTGCCCCCGTCCGCTGCCTGGCACTCCACCCCCTCGGGAGTGAGGGATGGGCCAATGGAGGCTCCCAAGGGTGGATGTATCCTCTGTGGGGTTGGCCAGCCCCTGCCCTACCCATCTGAGCCCTATACACCCCTACCCTCTGCTCTGCCTCTCCTGCCCACGACCTCCTTCCTCCCTGCCACTTGTTCAGGACATACACAGCTAAGACTGTCCTCGGGAGCTCATCCCAGGCTATGGGAAGTGACAGGGCACTGAGGCCAGGGGCCATGCCTCTAGCCCCCTCTCTGGATCACCTGCTCACCTCTCCTTAGGGCAGTTCATTTGCCAGGGGGACCAGGTCACTTATGTCATAGGCAAGGACTATTTTATTAAACACAGTATCTTCAGTGCCTAGGACCCTGTCTGGCCCACGTAGGGGATGCTCAATAGAAACATGTCGCATCAATACGTGGGTGAAGGAAGGAAGGACCCACAGGTCCCAGAGGCTGGCCTTAATCGAGGCTTCTCCTGGGCAGGTATATCCAGGGGGCCTCATCACCCAAGGACATGGTCATCATCGTGGATGTGTGAGTGAGCAATGCTGGGAGGCGGGGTGGGACGAGACAAGGGACTAGACTCTGCTGCCCGGGGCCATCCTGGGGGAATGACAGGAGAACACCTGAGGCCTACCTGGCACCTCCATGACCTCCCCAGGAGTGGCAGTGTGAGTGGCCTGACCCTGAAGCTGATGAAGACGTCTGTCTGTGAGATGCTGGACACACTCTCCGATGACGACTATGTGAACGTCGCCTCGGTGAGTGCCAAGGGGACAGGCGGGCCAGGAACGAGTCGCCCCCACTTGCCCGTGCAGCAGCCGCCTGCCCTGGCCAGTGTGAGCTCCCTTACCCTCGGTGTCCCCGCAGTTCAATGAGAAGGCGCAGCCCGTGTCATGCTTCACACACCTGGTGCAGGCCAACGTGCGAAACAAGAAGGTGTTCAAGGAGGCTGTGCAGGGCATGGTGGCCAAGGGCACCACGGGGTACAAGGCCGGCTTCGAGTACGCCTTCGACCAGCTGCAGAACGTGAGCCCCGTGGGTGGATGAGCAGACGGCTGGGGGCGGGCAAGGGCCCGGGCTTGGTGACACTGGGGAAATCAAGACGAATGGCCTTGTTAGCACCCACCAGGCAGCTTGGGCAGATAACACCATCTGCTGTTGCGGGGAGCACCAGAGGGCCAGGCCCACCAGAGGGAGGGAGATCTACCCCTGAACCAGGAGTGGCCAAGAGCCACCTGACCCCACACCTACTCTTGCCCAGTCCAACATCACCCGTGCCAACTGCAATAAGATGATCATGATGTTCACGGACGGCGGCGAGGACCGCGTGCAGGACGTCTTTGAGAAGTACAACTGGCCCAACCGGACGGTGAGGCTCAGCCCAGGCGGGCGCTGCCCCGACCTGGGCGCAGTGCAGGGGGCGGGGGGCTGTGCTCCGGCAGCCGCAGCAGTAACCTCAAGCCCCAAACAGGTGCGCGTGTTCACCTTCTCCGTGGGGCAGCACAACTATGACGTCACACCCCTGCAGTGGATGGCCTGCGCCAACAAAGGTACCTCATCCGGGCATCACT